GGAGGGAGAGAGAGAGAGCATGGCGTGCATATGCTCTTGAAAACAACAGAACGGCGAGCAAACGAACGCGTGCCGTGTGTGTGTTCGAAGCGTTCTTTGAAAGAGACACCTTCCACGAAACTAATTCTGACTTATCTATGTATACTGCCGAAGTAGTAGTGAATCGATCCTTCCTTGCAATAGTGAGACCCCCGCAGTCGCGCGACGTCTGATCTGCGGGCACACTTTAGAACAACGTCACCTTATTTCAACTTGGACACTGAAGACCTGGCTCCAAACCCTCTGTAATAATATGATATACTACCGTGATCCCTCCAACGAACAGGGTTATTTTCTTGGCCATCGGTGATCGGTCCTTCCTGTGGGACCAATGCTTAGAGCTCTCGAGGACGCGTGGCCAACCAATGGTCTAGCCGCTAGGCATGCATAAGAGTACGATGCTTTCATGACACCGATGAACCGGTTGAAAAACAAAACGACGACAACAACAGATTACTCATGAAGAGGAAGCATTTTCGCTGTTGGAGGGGCAGGCGGAGAAGAAGATCAGATGGCGACTCAAGAGGGAGGAAGAGGAGCGACTCAAGCTCGCGCGGGCCGTGGGGGACAGGGAGGCTGATGCAGCTAGGCTTAAAGCTCTGAAGGCGTACGGACAATGGGTTCCGTACGCAGACAAGATGGATGGGGGAATATTTTACTACAACAAGGTACGTATGTGTGTGTGTGTGTTTTCGTCCCATTTATTGCGGCGACAGTCCCCCCATTTTTCGCGGTGAGACGTGTACTACACTTTTGAGCGTATGTAGAGTACTACACTTTTCAGTGTATTTTTTCGTACAACTACAACCATCCAGGGTCACACAGGAGGGGGTAAACACCAGGGCTTTTTTTCTTCTTTTTATTTCTTTTCATGCCCCACCTTCCTCCTCCTGCGGTGCGTGCTGAATTTCATTTTCATCGCGAGAAGGGTCCAGCCGTCCCTTTCCCTCGTCAACGGTGCCGACTTCGAAGTTTGGTACTCACGAGAGCTTGTCAGCTATATTTCGCTTTCACCCGCACATTTCGTAAATTTTTCACCCCATGGGGATTCGAACTCACGACCTCTGCGACTAGCGGATTACTAGGATACCACTAGACCACCGGGGCGACCGGTGCGTATGTATGTGGCTAAATGAAAGAGGTGCCGCGAAGGAATATATTTCTCCTTATACCGTATCGGCTTGGTTTTGAAGCAACCGCGTGTCGAGTACGAGAGGAAGGGAGAGAAGGAGGCAGGGAGGATGGGGGAGGGTGGGGTTAAGAGGGGGGAAGGATTGTCATGTGCACGGACATGCGTGCGTGTCGTTGTCGTGAAAAGCGCACGGAAGGTAAACACACATATTGTTAAGTTGGTTGCATGCTTTCCCTCTCTCTACCCTTACCTGTCTTGAAAGGAACAAGTACAAACACGTCAAGAAACACAATGACCACTAGACCACCAGTCAGCGCTGACGGGCGGCGGTCTAGTGGTCACCGTGCTTCTCAAACAAATATAGAGCTGATGTCCGGGGTTCGAATCTCCCCTCGAACATTAATAAATTCCTTTGCGCCCGATGTACGGGAGGAATAAGAAGTCTGAGGAACTAGTCTTCGCAAAGTAAAAAGCCGATGAACCTCTTGTTGTACGGAGGATGATGTGATCTCCGGGCAAGACAGCGCTGATCACAGGGAGGGATGGCAACACTGGGGGGGCGTGTTCGTGGCTGCAAAGCAAGCTAGATAATCTAGGCCGGACGCAGGCATTAACCTTTATTTGTTGCGAAGCACGATGACCACTATACCACCAGTCAGTCAGCGACTGACTGGTGGTCTAGTGGTTATCTCGTGCTTCTCAACACAGGCATTTACTTGCTACCTAAAACACCCGTGACTTAGTTCCCCTCTCATTCTTGCATGTTGTCTACCGTAAGAGTCGGAGAGATGGCACCCCCCCCCGTGTTAGCGTTTTTTTGTAGCGTATTTCACAACAAGTAGGGGGGTACCAGTAACGAAAAGGGTAGTTTTGGAAACATCTCGTCGAGGGCGTTCCTTAGAGGTATCGGTTGGTGTTCGCACCCTCCTACTTGTGGAGAAATAGGCTAAACGAAAACGCTAACACGGGGTTGCCATCTCTCCGACTCTTATGGTATAGACTTTGCTCAACGAACGGCCGAAGAGTAGGAGTAGTGCTGCTTCTATCCAACAGTAAGGTGATTCGACATACATCCATACTAACGTGATGTCCGAGTTTCTTAGCTTCCACTCATCATTCGCAACGAATCTTAGTCCGTGTGAAACGAGAGCGGTGAGATACACTTTTCTCACGTATTACTTGCTTGTTGTTGCTGCTGCTGCTGTTGTTTTTTGGTCGCGACCTGTTCCTCCTTCCGTCGTTCCGAACGTGGCCGTATCTAGGTGTCCAGGGAATCCCGTCGACAGACCCCAGAAGACTACGTGAAGGACAAAGAGTACGTCATGAAGAGCGCCACTTTCGGGATGCACTTCTACCATTAAATAAACCATTGTTTAATAAGTTAGAACTTCCGCGGAGGAGGAGGCGCGGACACAGCACAAGCAATCAATCATGGTTGGTTTTCCTGTAAACAAGACCCCCCCCCCCACCTTGCTTGGTTCATGTTGTTGTAGAATGAATGTTAATGTCGGTTGTACAAAGAAAGGTGAGAGAGAGATAAATACTTTAAATATCATGATAATAATGTACATGATGACCAAGCTGGGAACAACAAAAATTATAAATAAAAATAATAGAAGGGCGGCGGGTGTCAGAGATATTTCGCTGTGCACTAGCAGCAGTACGATGCTGCAGATGCCAGGAGGCTGTGTAGCCTACCTCAGAGGTTCACACTCTGTGCGTCTCCAACCGCGAGAGACTTGGAATGGAAATATGAAGATGCTTTTATTAGTTGCTGACTCCCGAGTCAGATGTTGCTGGTACTGAAGAGGAGTGAGAGGAGTGGACGAGCTTAGGGCTGCACCACTCTTCTCGAATACCGGACAAATAAGTCAATCACACGAAAGATCCAGAATGCTTCCAGAATGATTTCTGGGAGCCCTCCTACGTTCTAGAAGAGTATCAACTACAACCTAGATCTAGAACGCTTCCAGAAGCTTACAGAAGGAACCAGAAGTCGCTCCGCACTTCTTGTTCAGTGAGGCCGGAGGTGCTCTCGACGAACAAGTTGTCCGACAACACTCGCGGCATGGACCTAGCGTCCAAGTCCTTGGCACTCTCCGGCAAGGACATCTTCTTGACCACTTCCATGGGACTGCTGCTGCTGCCAGCCTGGTCTCCACCTTTGCTCTTCTGGCAATCCGAGCACTCTCTCTGCTGTCCGTAGCCTTCCTCTCCGATGCCCCGACCACAAAACGCGAGCATGGATCGCCCGCACGGGCACTGGTGAACCGCTGACACGAGTTGAGACTTTTGCTGGCACGAGGGTTCGCCACATGGCCTCAAGCCGGCAGCTGACGACCCGCCAGCGGAACCAGAAGTTTCCAGAAGGCTTCCAGAAGCTACACACGTTCTACATAGATGTCCCGGTCAACCTTGACCTAGCATGCTTCCGGAATATTTCTAGAACAAGAGAATACATGCCAAGGAGAGATGGATACTTTTCTACTGCTACGCAGACTAGTTGCTGCAATCGTATTCAAAGGTCAAACCGTGTCCGACTACTGGTGGTCTCGACGCACGATTTTCCTGACACGACCCCTCGATCAAGCAACTAATTCACAATGGTCGACGGCATCACCATATCCTTGTCTACCTCGACCCCTCCGTTGGCACCGTATCGAAAATAAATTCCTTCTGGTATGGAAGGGAGCTTCACAGATCTTCGATCAACACGAGAAGTCCTTAATCTGCTGAATGATGGAGGCAAATCGGTGCTTTGGGAGGTACTTGGTCGCGATATCAGCCAACTGGTGCTTGCTGGGCCGGTGGTGAAGAGTGATTTGTCCCCGTAGTACTAGCTCCCGGATGAAAAAGTACCTCAGGGCCACGTGCTTCGTGCGTTGAGAGTGCATGGCATACCCGGCCCCTGTCAGCGCTCCGGTGCTGTCGCTGTTGATGGGAACCGATCCGAAGGTNATGAGAAGTCCTTAATCTGCTGAATGATGGAGGCAAATCGGTGCTTTGGGAGGTACTTGGTCGCGATATCAGCCAACTGGTGCTCGCTGGGCCGGTGGTGAAGAGTGATTTG